AATGAAATATGGTTTGTAACTAACAACAATTAGCTACATTTATCCTTTTTCTTGATATGGTAAATTTCAAGACATTCCTTGGTCTGCATCTTTGAGCAATGACAAATTACATGTTATTAAGCAATTCTACCTAGCGAGAGAATGCTCTGTAATGCTTTACTCCAGCACTCAAACCAACACATTCCACTGCAAAATATCCATGTTGGAGAACACATCCAGTGATCACCAAAGAACATTTCATTGCTGTCATGACATAGTGTTCACAGTAAAGCTTGGAGTTAAACAGACATGTTGCCCTATGCTAAACCAATAATCAGAGGTAGAGATATTAACTTACCTCAAAGGTTACATATTGTCTGGACATCAGTGGAGTAAAATCCTTTCCAGTTCACAAAGTCTGGTTCATTTTCCTGAGGGGCAGTTATTCTAATGTGGATATCATTGATGCACCCAATGGCAGAAGGAAAACCACCAACTTGAAACAAACCTTGTTTAATCTCCTCTTGTTCAGCGCAAGTAGACAGAAATTTTATGAAATCACCTAACTTTGCAGTCAAGACTTGTGTCACACGACAAACTACAGTAAAAACCCATGAAAAAGAATCTGTGTTTTGGGGGTTCAGGCTGATTTTGTTTTTACATATTGGGTGTTTTCTGCAAGATCAGCAGAAAATGTCCTTACAGTGTTCTTCAATTAGTTTCTTAAAATTAAATACTGCATCGACCACCAACAGATGAAATCAATGTGCAAGCACAAAATTTTTAATTAATTAATGGATGGACCTAACCTTAACTGCATTAATCTAGGCAATAATATTACATTGTGGGAGGGATAGCAGATCAGGTGATAAACAACTCAAAACTCAGCAAAAGTCAAGCAAATTCAAATGCACCAGCTCACCCTCCCTCTTTTCAATGCTCTTCCCCAGTACTGTACCCAAGTGGGTTATTCTAATCCTACTGGCAGCCAAATTTTTTTTTATATATCAGAACACTTCATATTTCAGGCTGGATGTGTTCTTGTGTAAATGGCACTTTTTTGACCAAATTTCAGCTTGAGTGTTTTAATCCACTTGTTCTTTTATGTGGGTTTTTACTGTATTCGGCTGACGGTTGACTTATCAAATCCCAGAAAAGTATCTTCGATCACCAGCAAAAACGAACCAAGAATCTGAGGGTAGCGAGGACTTGTATTACCGCTGAGACAGCATGGTTCCTAATTGTTTGTGGTGTTATTTCATCCGCAACTAGGTTAACGATGTATTGTATTGATTCTCGTTCAAAACGATGCGTGGATCTCAATTCAGAGTTAGTGTAAGACTATAAGGGATCGAGCTGGCGGCGAAAAATTCTTGTCTTTCTACGACGTTGATTGCGTGGGAAAGTTACACCGCAGAAGATGCAACTGTCGAGCGGCCGTTTTGTTTTGTTTTTTTATTTTTATAATTATTATTATCCGGTGGATAAAAATTTATACTACCTACCAAACCATGGATAAATTTATCCGCTGGATAGCGAATGGATAGCGTTATCCATACTTTAAACAACCGATAGTACGCCATGGGTAAAATTTATCCGCTGGATAGCGATTTATCCAGCGGATAAGTAGTTATCCATCCTTTGAACAACCGTGGCCGGATCCTAAAAATGCGACTAAAGCGGATACGTTCCTCGGAAAAAACAATTTTACCATCTTCTAAGTTTTTGAACATCGAGTTAAGGGCTTTCTCAAACGAGCTCAATTTCTTCTCAATGTCCATGCAGCTTTGTGTGAAAAAATTAAGGTAGAGGTTTACAACTATAGATCAGTCAAGCTTAAGCGGATATACTTACCTAACACAGCTTACAGAGCTTGTGACGTTCTTTACACCTTCATTCAACGATACAGCCTTTCAACAATAAAGCCTTTCAACGACAAAGCCTTAAGGTGCAAAATGATACGAACATTTCACACCTAAATAAAAAGATTATCGGATGAGGTTGACCGCGATATCGTGATGTGTGCTCTCGACCAATCAGAGTTTATAATCTAATGTATGCATGGTATTGAAGTTGTCCTTCAGGTGCATGTCGATTAAACGAGCGATTCCTTTGAGGCCTGGAGTTAGTGCATTTCTTTTTTTATTCCAAGCTTTCGCCGATCTACGGCATCGTCAGGGTATGTTAAGAAGACATTCCACTATGCACAAAATAAAAGCGATGAAGGTGATACGAATAATTGGAATACATAATAGGGAAATGAGTTTCCAAATGTGGCGATTATCACGATATATGAAATTTGCGTCACATGTCACGTTATCTGTTCATATATTTAGTCAGTATAAAGCAATTTCTACTCACTAGTATATGACACGAATTTTTGTATATTGTTTGTAGGTAATTAGATATGTAAGATAAACGGTATGAGAGTTAAAAATCGTTAAAAATTCTCTTAACCCTTAAACCCCTAAGAGTGACAAGCATATAATTTGTCCTTACAATATCATCCCTAAATCACACATTAAGGTCATGAGAATAAAGGAAATGATCACTAACGAAAGAAGCGTTTGATTGGTAAACGAATTCTCCTTGTCAGCACTTTAGGAAATGGATAAAGAGCAGTATGGAGAAAAGTAAAAATAATATGCATACTGATTTTAGCATTTTTTTCCGTTGATAACCAGTAGGGAGAGGCAGAGTCATGTACGCATTGAGCATTATTTCGAACATATTATACCACTCTGCAGTGTTTCAGAGATTCGAAGTCATTTCCGGATGTCAAGAGCTACAGTGAGCTGGTTGGAACGCCTGTTAGCTACTTGCCTTGGTCTGCCTCATGGACGAAGAAATGGGGGGAGACGAACCATTGACTAACAAAAGCAAGTATTAATAACGATTTGGATACTTGGGAACCCTGAATGCTTGCAATCAGTGGCCGATCGATTTGACATAACAAAGTCGAGTGTATTTCGCATTTATCGCAGAATTTGTGCAGCGATTGCCGATAATCTTTCTGGTAGGTTAATCAAGTTTCCTTCAGGGCAACGAGCAATTGATGTAGAACAAGGATTTGAAGAAAAACCGGCATTTCCTGGTGTTTTGAGTGCCATCGATGGATGCCACATTCCAGTCAAAGCACCATTGAAAACCATGAACAGTACGTCAATTGTAAAGAGTTTCACTCCCTGTAGTTAAAAGTAATCTGCGATATGGACATGCAGTTCACTGATGTATTTTGTGGTTATCCTGGTTCTGTCCATGATACGAGGGTTTTTAGAAATTCGCTCTTTTTCCAGGAAGTTGAAGCAAACCCAGACATGTTGTCGGATAGGACGTAAAACCGTAGGCCCCGTCTCCTGCAGGGTTGGGGTAGGAGACGTTAATTTCCCACGCACGAGATTACTGTGTGCTGGATGTCCTCCCCTGGGGTGGGATGGGTGGAAGAGACACTAATTGTAATGCGCCTTTGATCATCCATAAAATGTTAAAGGGCGCTATATAAGTAAATAAATTATAAATTATTATTAAAATTATTAAATTATTAAATTATTAAAATTATGTTGTTTCCAAGAAATTCCCACCTGATCGGTAGCTCCGCTTACCCTTTAAAGACCTTGGTACTTACCTCATATCCAGGCAATGACGTACTCACTAGAAGACAGAAAAGATATAACTTTGTTCACAGCTCAACTAAAATGGTAATGGAAAGCCGTTGGTCTCTTAAACGGTAGGTTTAGGAGGCTTAAGACACAAATGGCAGTTGACAAAATTGAGGATGCCCCAGTGATGATTGTGGCTGCCTGTGTATTGCATAACATTTGCTTAATAAATGATGAGGATGACATTGAAGACCTAATGGATAATAACAGTAATGATGATGATCATGATAATGACAATTACAACAATGGAGATGCTGAAGATAAGAGGAACCAAGTCATGAGAAATTTACCTTGATTACACATGCACTTGTGTGGTGCTAAATGCTCTTGACATTACAACTTACCCTTAAATGGCAGTGTATGAAAACTGCAGACTGGAGACTGGCTTTAAATAGTAAATGTGTTACCATTACCATTATTGAGAGCTAACTGCAAGCAGGCTAACCCAAGTAATGCTATCCAGAGTTAGAGTTAGGCTGACCAGAATAAAGTCTGGAGGAGAGCATTTGTTGCACACCCATCAACTGGTTCTGTGATGAAAAAAAAAAGAAATAAAAACACAAAAAGCCTACAGTGTCTGAAAAAAAAAACAGTAAAAGAAGTAGGAGGGAAAGGAAAGTGTCTATTTCAAGAACTGTTAGCAGCATTTGGAAAATGCAGTTGCAAATTAAGTTTTCAGGAAAGGGATGGACAATAGGGGTACTGATGCATGTCTTTCTCCCCTACCCATCTAAGAATTGCAGGCACTAAAATAAAATATACCAGGAACTCGATGGTTTTTTGTCCAGAGTTGATGTTTGTAGTTTGTAGTCTTCACTTGTATTTCTATAAAGTGTATGCCAAACAAAGTGATGAGCTGTCAAAATCTTGAAGTTTGCTTGCAGATAACAAGGTTTACCTCCCAGAAGTTTTTAATTTGGTTTCTTAAGGAGAAAATATCTTAAAACAACAAAATACATGTAACACTCAAACTTGTTTCTAAGAAAAATGAATATTGTAAAAAGTTCTTTGTTAGCAATATCATTAAAGAATTTTCAAATTACTTATCACCATGCAGTATTTTTCCCCATAACCAAACTTTGGTGAAGAGGGACTGGGGTTAAGCTTCCCATTTCAAAATGGGAATTCCGCTGTATGAATTTCAGTATATTACCATTAAGTAACAGCTTCTTGTCACATGCATTTATTTCAACTCACTTTTGTCTTAGTAATCATCTTAAAGCAGTCATACCTTTCTGGAAAGGTCTTCCTCCACTTTAAATATGTGTAAGCCTTCCAAAACTCATATTTTAAGCTTTTTGACCCAAAAATGGTCCAAGCATGCACATATTTACTGAAACATCCAACAGACAGAAGAACAAACTCTTTAACCTAAGTGTTTTATTATCATTACTAATTACTCTCTTATTATTGTAATAATCCTAATGTTTTGTGACACCAGTACGTTTTCACTCCTAACGTTTCAGTAGACATGCACTTCATGTGAAACTAACCAGCATCACTATTTCTATGACTGCAATGGGTACACAATACCTTTACTTGTTTTATTAGTACTTTAGAACACAAGTAACATCTTGACAACACAATATAACCATACATGTTTTGGTTCTACATGTACACATACATGAAAAAATGCCATGTACAAACATGCTTGAAAGCCTTGCGGTGAATACTTCAGATAGTGAGGTAATGCAATGTGATGTGAATGCAACAGCACAAAACACAACTGCTAGAGTACTAGTATGTTGTGGAATCAGTGTAAGAGCCTTTTCCATGTAATGAGAGCTGCTTACATGAAAACCACAGAACAAAAATATTCCCTTATCTTAATTGGACAGATTTTTCAAACACTTTAAGAAATTGCCCAAAGAAAGTCTTTTTATCATTGTGCATTTCTTGCAATTTCTGCAGTTTCTTTTCCTCCTTTTCTTCCTTCCTTTCAATAAACTCTTTAATCAGAGAGACCAATCACTTCTTTCACTAGGAGGTTTCGTTCTAGGTTTTTTCTTTTGTATTACCTGTTCATCACATTCTGCACTTTCTATACCCTCTGAATTGTCTAATTGACCTTCATTTTCAGTTAAGCCCTCTTGGTGTTGAGCTTAAGGATGTTTAACCAGACCCTTCCTACTACTGTACACAGCTGATGGTGTTATATCGTCATCACCATGAAAAATGTTGTGAAGTTCTTCATAGTAAGCACATTTCTTTGCATTTCTTCCTGTTTTCTTGTTGTGATCAATGTATGCAATATATGATCTTTTGAGATTCTTGAACTTGGTCTCCCAAGACTTTGCACCACAAGAGATATGTCCCTGTTCCCACATTTCAAGGCAAATAACAGACCAAATATCTTTGTTCCTTACTCTTGGATTCTTGGATCATCTTTTTTCTTTAAGATATGTTTCAAATCAAGATCACTTCCTCTTTCAGCCACATTTTCTTTTCTTTTCCACATTGAGTTCTGTCATTACCATTGCTACTTGTTGAAGGCTCAGATGGAGAGCTAGACCTGGAATGATCTGATTGGCTCTGGTAGGATGAAGCACTGTGATAACCTACCTCACCAGTTTGGTGTTGGAAGGGTAGACCAAAAGAACTGTAATTAGAGGTACTTGCATGTCCTTAAGTAGGCCCTCAGCTGCCTGTAAACAAGGGTACCACTTTGTCCATGTAGAGAGACGTTATTAATCCATAGCTCCATTTTACACCTGTATCTTCTAGGTATGAGAGAACACGTAAAACATCAATGTATAATGCAGTGCTTTGTTGTATAACACCTATATTGAAACGAGTTTGAATTTAAAGATAACTACCTCTACATATGGTCTAACAGATAGAACTTCCAGACATTTTGCTCATTACTTGCATTTCTACTTGCCCTTGAAGGGCTCAAGAAAATAAAATAATTACACGCATTATCAGTAAACCAAAGAATAGTGAACAATCACCAATAAACAACAAGTGGTAATAACAATATGAACCTTATGGTACCTTGTCGCATTTCTACCATCATAAGCTTTCACCAGGCAAGAACAAACCTACACTAGTATTAAAGTCAGGACATATATATCTGCTAGCAATAAATTATTATATACGAAAAATGCCCAAAAGAAACACAAAAAACATGTTGTATTTACAGCAGAGTCCTGCCCAAATTCTCCAGGAAATTAAAACATTTTGGTTACTGATATCGATATATAATATTTATAGAAAACAGACTCCTACGAAAATTGACAAAGACAACGTAAATGTACAGTAAACAGCAAAATAACCAACAAATAAATAACCCCCAAATATTATTCTGAAGTTCGTTTTCAAAAGAGTAACTGAACGAGTTCCATCATTCACGAATGTTTAGGGAAGTAAATATGGTAATTTCAAGGTAAATCCGAAAATTTTTGCACCAGCCATTCAAATATGTGTACTTAAGTACTATTTCGTAAATTTTTTGAAGAATTTCAGGCAATAAAAAGAGAGAAAAGGAAATCGTGACCACTTACCACGATGAGCTACTGCGTCGACGAAAATCACGAACGCGGGAAACGTCACGAAAGTACTTCGCATATATGAAGTACTTACATGTTTGAAATTGAGCATCGCTTGGCAAAATCATAGTTAGTAGAGGAGACTATGGCAAAATGATTATTTTCGAATCCATCACCCAAAGGAACGCGTTGGATCAGTGTTCCAATAATCCGTCTTCAGATCACGCAGATCAGTGACCCGGTAAATCCTTGTCCAGAGTGGATTTGATAGATCACTGATCTCAAAACGGATTTGCTCCAAAGGAACGCCACAGATCAGAAATCCTGATCCGGATTCTCCCAGGGGAACGCACCCGTACGTTGTTTGTAATTTGCAACGGTCGACCTCGGCAAGACGCAAGTGATCCCGAGAAATTTTTCATAAATTCTGCAAATCGTAACATTTCATCCCCAAAATCCGCTAAATGACAGTCAGATAAATGAAGTTCACTTAGCTTTGTTTTTCTTTGTTGTCTCGAGTGATTTTGCGGGGTTTTGGGACGGTTAATTCCACTTTGCATTGATGCCACTCCAAAGGCAAAGGAAAAACACAAGGCGTGCAACTTCTAAGACCGTCTGGGCCGAATTAAGTCTTCAGAACTTCGCCGAATTTCTTCCGCTTTTAAATGTCGCTCAACTCCTAGCTTCGGGCACGTTAAAAGTCGATTAACGTGTAAGAGCGAAGCTCAAAAGCCTGCTCGATTTCCGATATTCGCTCCCCATCTGCCGTCGACACATGATGTAGACCAAAGAGGTCGATCATGAGCATTCGATTAACCGTATTATATTTCAAATTAATCACTAACCGAGCTCAGATTTCACCCGCCGTCCCCACGCTAGGGCCGGTTTGTACCGTCTTTCGACGGTCACACTCTGCACTGGCGTGGAGAGGGCTTTGTAGTTTGACTGATCGCAAGAAGTGTCAGGTAAGCATTGATTTCCAGTAATATTTCGAAAGGTCAAACATAATCGACCAGGATTTATTATTTTATGGCTATAGCTGTAATAATTTTATGTTCATGACTCTGACTTGATCAGAGTAGAGCAGGTAATTTAGAGTTAACAACTGAGTTGAAAACGTAAATTGGCCACGGTAAGGGGTAAAAAAGCTGACGTTTCCGGCTTTAGCCCTTCGTCCTTCGCTCTGACGAAGGGCCAACGCTCGAAACGTCAGCTTTTTTACCCTTTACGGTGGCCAATTTACGTTTTCAACTCAGTTGTTAACTCTAAATTACCTGCTATACTCTCCCACCGACGCAGCACCACAGTTTCTTTAGAAACTTACCCCCTTTATTGATCAGAGTAGTATGTCTATGTTTTGGTGGTTCTTTCCTCTAAATGATTTACAGACATTATTTTTGTATGAATCTATAAAATGGACATGAATTTGCGCATCATTGTTTTAAAAGGCACATACCTGCAAGTTTGCATTTCAACGAGAACCCACAGCGGGAAACACGAAGGGCATTTGATAGAAAAGAACACTTTTGGGTCACTTACCCAAAATCTTAAATGGGAGAGGAAGTTGTTCGATAGGTGGCATGCCCACCTAACTATGGTAAGAGTAAATATGACTTCAGTGAATTAACTCTTATTTATAAGAAAACAGCATCTATGTATATTATGTATATATTTTTTCAGGTTTTGTTGATGGTTTCTAGAAACTGTTTTTTCTTTTTTTTAAAGGAAAAGAGGGTAGGAAAAATTTCAGTCAGCAGATTGAGCAAGGAGGAGGCCATATAGGCATACAAGACAAAAAAGGCAATGAAGAAAACAGCACTATTTCTACCTTGTTAGTTTATTGCTTTATTAATCCATTCATTTCAACCATCCAAATTTAACATGAAATGAATATAATATTACAATGAAGTTTTAGTAAGTGTGAATTATTTCATTTTCGCCGCATGTCTGTGGGGGGCAGCTTGTTTATCTTCCCGTGGATATGCTACTCTAAGTTGGGAATGCCTGTAGATGGGCTTTGTTGTTAAATGTGAATTTTGTATTCCCAACTCAAGACAGGTGAGAATGATATACATTTGTATTCAGTCTGGGTTAAACACTATTTGTCAAAGGACATACAAAATAACACAACCACACTGTAACTGTAATGATGCACTCACATACTATATAACTATTGTTATCCAATAGAACCAGAACAAACTTCATAACAAGCTGGCAGAGTCATCTAAACAGTAGACAATCCACTTCTAGATGCACCTGCAAAAGCAAAAGGCCATATCATGGTCACAAGTAGAAAAGTGGTAAATAAAGTGACTCAGAGTTTTTTCTCCATATCAGCTGTCTCATGGTCTCTATTGCTATTTTTCAAAGTGTGTTGAAAATGACATAGCCCATGCAAATGAAACTGAACTGGGAGCATTCTTTTAGCACAAATTTTTCTTCATGGACTCATGAAGTGCATTTACAAGCTTTCAATGCTCCTCTCCATCCCAGACATTAGCATATCCCCTGTGATGTTGTGTGTTGTATTTTTCCTCATACTGTGATAAACACAAGCTGATAAAGGTAGGCTGTTTTCCCAGTCTATGGCCACAAAGCCACCTGGTTGCCCATGTATATGCAACGGCTCTGATGAACCTATAGGTAAACATGAAAGTGAAAAATGAAGACATCTATCTACAGTTCAGGTAAATACTGGACCTCTACTCACTGAATGATAAGAGACTCATTTCTTATGAATGGAGAATTAAAAATTAAAATAAACCCCAAGTATTGCAATTAATAGCTTAAGCAAAAAAAACAGAAATGACATATACCTACATATATATATATAAAATAAACAACGATAAGTTCCTCCATCTTGGCTTCTGAGGTGAGGAGTGACATGCAGAAGAATGGCACAGTTTGTAATGGCATCGAAGTCTTCATGTTGTGTAATGCAATTGATTTGTTGGATTGAACCATCAACACTCATCTTTGCAGATGAATTAGTGACTTTTCTGCAACATCAGAACGTTCATAGCTTGAACGACTCCTGCCATTCGCTTGCGCTTTTAAATCTTCTAACCTGAAAGCTTAGCTGTTATTAGGATATCCTTTAATGACTTCCATTTGCGATGTGATATTAAAGGTTAGTTTTAAGGTGTCATTTCCCCAT